CCAGTTATGATCACACTTCATTTTTGGTAATCGTGGTTGTGTCATCAACAAACTGATCATGGTCGAACTGACAGCCCGTAACTAGACTAACAAAGTTTTGTGTGTATAAAAAGGTTTCGAGGTTATTGCAGTAAAATGGTTCGTTGTTTATGGAGGTTTCGAGGTTCAATCGGAGAGCATTAGAGTATGAAAAGGAGAAATAACATCCGAGGAGTTGAGCCATGGAGAGATGTTGCAGAGTGACGGGGAAGAGAGGGAATAACAATAAAGGGAAGGGGAAGAGAGACAATTAATTAATTTATTATTATTTTAATTATAAAATTCATTTTTAATATTAAATAAATATCAGGTGGTATTTAATGGCCGGAATTAATGGTCCGTCACGGCCAGACCCAAACTGAGTTACATAATGAAACGTTAGATATCAAACTGTAACGAAAAAAACGTTAGACAGACACCAAACTGAAAAAGCATACGTTGAACACCTTTTTGACGTTTAAGCCTTTTGTTTTCATATCCATGGAGCATTGCTCAAACATGTAATAAGCAACTTCGTAAACATGACTATCATGTTCCGTCCCATTTTGCTACTTACAGTGATGTACTAGAACTTAGGGTAATTATCTCCTGAAATTTTTAGATTCTTGTATATTTTAGTTATTGTTTTTGTATTTTCTACTGATAATATATTTTTCGTCCCCTAAAATATTATAAATTTATTTCCATAGAATGTTATAAGTTCACCTATAACATAAAGTTATGTGTTGGCTACTTGCATAAATCTCTCCTGCAAATGAATTGTTCATTGTCATTAGGGGTGTAAACGAGCCGAGTCGAGCTCGAGTATTGCTGAACTCGACTCGAAAACTTGGAAATGGAACTCGACTCGAACTCAAAATACTGAACCGAAGCTCGTGAGCAGCTCAAAAAGGCTCGAAATGAAAAAAAAAATTCTTAAACTTAACTAGATTGAAGCCTCAAACTCGAACTCGAACCTGAACCTTAGATACATGAAAATCTTACTGTATTTTTAAAAAAATCAACACATAAATGTTAATATTATTAATAATTTATTTTTTAAAAGATAAAATCTTAATATATTATATTTTCGAGCTGCTCACGAACTTTTCGAGTCAAGTATCAAGTAGCTCGTTTCGACTCGTTAAGAATTCGAGTTGAGCTCGAGTCGAGTCCATTCGGTCCGAGTATTTATTGAGCATTGACCTAGTTAATCTTGAGTAGCTCGTGATCTGTCTCGTCTCATTTACAGCCCTAACTGTCATCAGCATAAAAAAAGAAAACCAAGACATCAATTTGTTTATAATGCACCAGGGAAGGGGACGAAGGAAAATGAAAAGAGATGATATTTTAGGTGAAAAAAAGTGATTATGAATAAGGCAATGTACATAATGCCTTTTCTAGGAGGGTATATGCTTAAAACCAATGTTGACATGCAATGACATAAAAAGAAATTAGAATTTTTTTTATGAATTGAATTATGAATTTTTAAGGAATCAAAATATAATTTTACCATTATATTAATTTATAGGATAAACTATGTATTTAGTACGTAAACTATCAGTTTAAGTCCATTTTAGTACTTGAAATTTTAATTTTTTCAAAATCATATCTAACGTTTAGTTTTTATTTTATTTTAGTACCCCGTCGTTAAAAACTTTATGCGGTTAGTGCCTAAATTATCAGTTTTAGTCTGTTTTAGCACTTAAACTTTTATTTTTTTAAACTTAATGTTAAGTTTTTAATAAGGGTATTAAAATGAACTAAACATTAGACATGGTTTTAAAAAATAAAAAATTAAGTTTTAAAACGGATTAAAAGTGATAATTTAGGTACTAAACGCATGATTACCGGCAATCACCAACGTTTTATTTTGAGCGTAAAATGAAAAATATCCCCAAAAAAGAGGGAAAAATTCTTATGTCCACTTGACATTTAATGAATGAAAATGATGTTTTAAAGGTGAAACGATTCAACGTGAGGAATAGGCGAAGAAGAGTAATGACAGCAAATGGAAAGGAGAAATAGACAAATTGATCAAAAACCGCCGCCTGCCCACATACGAGGTAACTGAGCTTAGAGGAAGGCTTGAATGCAGACATCAATGGCTGATGAAGACAAGTTTGTTTAGAAGTTGGCCTAAATGGCAAAGCAAATTGGCATTGTGACCCCCCCTTTTTATCAAGTGGGTGCCTTTGATGAGATGTATTTGATTAGTGACCCCAAATTACTAAAATATTGTTGGGGCGTTTGGTATTTTTTATTAGGGTAAATTACGCGTTCAGTTCAATTTTAATCCGTTTTAGTACTTAAATTCTCCATTTTTTTAAACTATGCCTAAAATTTAGTTTTTATTTCATTTTAGTATCCATATCAAAATTTAACGTTAAGTTTTGAAAAAATTGAAAGTTTGAGTGTTAAAATAGAGCAAAATTTATAGTTCATGCACTAAATACATTAAGTTTTTAACGACGTGGTACTAAAATGAAATGAAAACTAAACATTATGTATGATTTTGAATTTTTTTTTGAAAGTTAAGTACTAAAATGGATCATAACTGATAGTTTAAGTATTAAATGTGCAATTTTCTTTTTTATTATGTTGATGAATGTTTTATTTTTTCGAGAGAAGTTTTTGAAGTGTCGCATGTGAAATAGTTGATTCAAATTCTAAAAATTGTACAACACTTGGCGAGTATCACTGAGCATTACTAACAATGAGCACCGCTGAGCACCATTAATTTAATTTATAAAAATTTAAAATTCTAAACAACTGAACATAAAATTATATATTTGTTAAAAATTTAAAGGTAAATTATTTAAAATAAAATATCAATTACATTATTTTCTTTTAACAAATTTTTAAATAATTTTTAAAGGTAAATTATAGATTTTTTATTGTTACAAAAATATTATGAAAAATAATATATATATTTTATTTTAAATAATTTACTTTTAAATTTTTAACTAATTTATAATTATACGTAGAGTACTTTAAATTTTTTAATTTTTATAAATTAAATTAATAATACTAAACAATATTAATCTTTAATAATGCTCAACGTCACTCGTAGAACGTGACAAACTCATCTTCAAATTCTCGATAATAGTCGAAGAAACTTAAATCTTACTCATAATTGGATTTCACTTCACCCGTAGAAGACACCGTTTAGATAATTTTTCTAATTATTTTTATTTAATAATTAAAGTATAATTGATAATATCCTTAAATATCTTAAATTATATGACATTAAAATACAATTTATCATGTGACATATATTACACGCATGAGATATCAAAATAAGCAAATAAAAATCGAAAGAGTGGGATCAGATTTTTGAAATTAAAAGCATATGGATCAAATATAAATATACAAATAGTATAGGATTGAAAGCAAATTAGACAAAAGAAGTGTAAAGCCCAACACACCAAAAGCCCAGTAAAAATAAAATTGGCCGTTAGCGAAAAGGTAAAAGCCCAGGAAACCAAAAAGGGTAAAATTACATGACATGGCTGGCCCCAAACCCCTAACTTTCGTGCTATGTACAATGGCAGAATCACGACTCGGTGAGGGTAAAAGTAGAAGTTTTTTTTTTACTGTATAGAGTTTGTATTGTTTTTATAAATCATATAAATTTTATTTTATTTTATTTAGTCGAGTGTGACTTTGATTTTAATATCGATTTCCAACCGTAGATTCTTTTTTTTATTTCTTTTTTAATGAGAATAATTATGTCTTTGTTAAACATTTTTCTCTATCTTATTTCTCGATCGTTTGACCGTTCTTTTTATTTTATGTTTTCTCAGGATTTGATTTGATGAGGTTACGACGGGTCAATATGATGCTTATTTGTAATCATGTTGATCTTCCTTACATAAATGACCCTCAGATTGAACTTGGATATGCGATTTTGCGTTCGTGAATGGTTTCTCACGATGTTCAGCTTTGATTTGTTGTACACGGTGGTATTTTAATAGTGTAATTTCCTTTTATGGTTCGTTTGCCGATAGATTTATTAATAAAAATCTATTTCTTTTTCAAGTATTTTGATTGAATTTTTAATATTTTCTATGTATGATCCTTATATAATCTAAAATAATTAATTTTAATATTATGAAAAAATATTTAAATTATATATTTAATTTACAATGATAATTATAAACTTTTATTATAATTTTAAATATTTCCGCTTTTAGTAAAACTAACCGTTCTATTTTATAAAAAATTCTCTAAAAGTGGTGTACAGTGGAGCCATGAGTTAATAGTAGGTTTATAGCAATAACAAAGAGAGGTACAGTCTACTTGCTTAATACATCAACGCATAAATATGTTTTAGGTAAATTATCATTTAATATTTAAATTATTAATTTTGATTTGTTTTAATATTTTTTTTAAATTATATTTAATGTTTAATTTTTGTTTCAATTTAATATCAGTATTTAAAAACTTAATGAAAAAACTGACATGACATAATTTCGGTGGACGGACGACCAATCCAAACGATGGACCACAAGAGAATGAAGAGTTACTAATATAGTCCATTTTCAGGCTCATCGAGCAATAGATCATGGAGATCAGACGATGAAAAAAATCAAAGAATCCATCATCGATTTGAAGAGATTTAAGCGTTACCTGGTGAAACGAAAGATGAATCGCGTTCAGGGGTAGAAAATGTACGGATTAAAAAGTTTAAGCTTCATCAATGACATATGCAACAGTCGACGATTGTAGACACGACGATTGACAAATCTGTCCATTAAATTTTTAACAATAAGATGTTAAAATAAAACAGAAATTAAACATTAAATATAATTTAAAAAAATAAAAAATTTATATATTAAAATATATCAAAAGTGATAGTTTAAATATTAAATATGTACAATTTATTATATATTTTACTGTCCCATGTATAAAAAACAATGATCGGCCCAAATCTTAAGTCAATTTGAAAGAGATCGACACTTGAAAATCAAAATCGGAGGTGAGTCGGACTCGGATACACCGATTGGATGCGTCTCTATTCTCTTTTTGTACGTCCAATTCGACTTTCCACTCCTCGCTGTTCCCCTACAAAACCGTCTAACACAAAACAAGACCCTAATCAGCCTCTCTCCCTCTTTCTCAGACTATCGAAAATCGATGGCACCCAAACGTTCAAACCTCACTGAAGTCCCACCGGCCGCTTCTTCATCTGAAGATGACGAGGAGACTTCCTCCGAAGGATCTTCAGCGGAAGAAGAAGAAGAAGAAGAAGAAGAAGAGGAAGAACCCCAAACCCACTCTAACCCATTGATCCAGAAGAGCCCGCCCCCTAGAAAGCCTGAAACCCTCACGCCCGTCATGGGAAACGAAGAATCTGAGGAGTCCGGGTCGGAATCCGGATCTGAATCCGAATCCGATATGGCCATGCCGATTGTAAAGCCTCTTGCGTCGAAACCCATGGAAGACATGAATGCGAAGAAACCCAGATCCTACAAGCCCTTGGCTTCTTCCTCGTTGAAACGGCCAGCTGAGATTGATCAAGATGCCAAGGATGCGAAACGACCCAAGAAGAAAGCCGGGGAAGAAGGGAATACAACGGCTACTGCTGTGGAGGAGGTGAAAAAGACTGGTGAAGATGCGAAGAAGCAGCTTTTCCAGCGGTTGTTCAGTGAAGACGACGAGATTGCCTTGTTGAAAGGTATGTTGGATTACTCTGCTAAAAAAGGGGCTGACCCTTGTGCTGATATGAATGCGTTTTATGATTTTGTTAAGAAATCAATTCATACCGATGTTACGAAAGCACAATTGATGGATAAGATTAGAAGGTTAAAGAAAAAGTTTGAAAACAATGCCGGAAAAGGTAAAAAGGGTGAGGATCGAACTTTCTCTAAAGCCCATGAACAGAATGCTTTCGAGCTATCGAAAAAGATATGGGGCAAAGAAGGGATTAGTGGGAAAGTTGAGTCTTCTGCTAAGTTCAATGGGAAGGCCAAGGCAAATTACAAGGCAGTGGTTGCATTGAAAGCAGAGTTGTACCCTTCACCTGATAAAAAAGTAGATGCTGGGCTGCCAATGGAGATGGATAAGAAGGTGGCTAAGAGTTCAGGCAATAGTTTGTTTGATAAGAGGTTCGGTGTGTCTAGCTTGGAAGAGGAAGTTCTAAAGAATGGTTTGGATATGGTTGACTGCGAAAAGAAGGCGGCCTTGGAAGCGAAATGGAGGAAATTGCAAATTGCCGAATTGGAGCTTTTCATTGAGCGAAGTGAATTGGTCAAGGAGCATGCCAGGTTGATGCTGGAATTTTACAAGTCTGAAGACAAATAAAGTGCTAGTAAAATAATGATATTTTTTATGTGCATTTTAAAGAATGATAACTTATTGTGCCTATTAGATAAGCTGGCTTTGAGTAGCCAATCATGGTTATTTTGTAGCCCGCATTGTTGGTAACTTGGGATAATATTTTTTTTTTTTGCATAGAGAGTAACTTATGAAGCCGTTTCTATGTTTGTCGGTTGCATGCTTGCGAAATAGCACGTAGGTAAGCATATTTTGTTATGTTTGGAATTGCTTAATCTTTTTTAATTTTATTTGCTTTGATGTGAATTTGTTTCATGATTTTTATTTTATTAAAAAACAATGCCGCTAATGTAGTGCGTTTCAGGATCGTGGCTTCTGATCCTTTCATGACCATGTTTTTTCTTTTCTTTTTGATCCATAGTTCACCTGATTTGCTTTGATTAAACCATTGCACTATGAATGTATCATGCCATGCTCTTGTAGCTACTGTTCTGTCGTCCTTACGATTTAGGTTGGCATGCACAATGGTTGTTCGTAAATAACATAGGCTAGTCTAGTTTTCTAATACCTGCCAGGAACCTTGGTAACAGTTTATCTAGGTAATTACAGATTTGGTTTGTAAATATGAATGTGTCTGATGGTTGCCGCTTTTGCTCTGGTTTTGATTTTATTCTATCATAGTTTGTTCTTGTATCTGTTTTGTCATATGCTCTGGCATTAGCCTAAAAGCTTATGCTACCAAAGATGCAATCTGTAACCTGAAAGTTTTCGGCATTTTGGCATTAGTAAATCCTGTCATTTGAAATGTCTGGCCGTCTCCTTGTTATACTTCTTGAACATCATATTTCAATTTGAGGCTCTTGTATGTTATATTTAGTTTTCTTTTCATATGGCAATTTGTTTTATTTTAGTTGGAGTATAAGGCTTTTTCTTTGTTGGAATTCAAATAATAGGGAAATGAAGTCAGGGAAGCTAGCTCTTTTATGGGAATGGTGTTTTTGCTTTTATGATCATGTACATTAACCTAATTACAGGAGATTGTTGCCATCGGCATTTGGCAAGTTTCTAAGGTGTTGTCATGCATTATTGTTTCGACTTCATTGTGTTTCGACAAGGCCTAGTGAAGTTTTAACCTTTATTCCTCATTCACATTTCATGTTGTTTTTGTTCAAGGTTATATATTCACATAAAATCAGATATGGTCAAAAGGTTTTTGATTATTTTTTACGAAAAAAATGGGTAAAGTATATAAATAGTCCCCAAACTTTTAGGGCACTTGCATTTTGGTCATCAAACTTTTGAAACTTTCAATACAGTCATTGAACTTTTAGTTCATTTTCATTTTGGTCATTGATGTTACCTCCTATTAGTTTTTGCTGGTGTGGCATTTAACCCATCAACTTTTGTGATGTGGCAGCTTCTTCTTCTTCCTTCTCTTCTTCTTCTCACACACTCTCTCAATGAAATATCAAATCCAAAACCTTGCCATTTCTTAAATTCTCTCTCTATTTTCTCAAGAAAATTTAGCTTTTCACTCTACATTCTCGGGAAAATCCACTTAAAGTAGTTTGATTTGTTGCTATTAATTGTTAGCTTTTTTCCCAAGTGGGTGTAGGGAGAAACTGGGAAAAAATTTCTTCACAGACACTCTTTTCCTTCTCTCTCTACATACCGATATGCATTCGGATGCTGAATTATTACCAAAACCGAATCTCTTGAGGTTTTATCTCGTACAAAAGTTGGCTAAGACAGTAAAAAGGAATTCCGGTAAACACGAAGTGCTAGATATAGAATATCACAGTAGAGAATTTAATGAGCTTCAAAGACGATCGATGCCGATGCATGAAGTTACAACCATCAAAGAAATGTGTGTAGAATACAATTAGCTTACCACACCGATGTGCCATTCATGTCTTTGAAACTCTTGAAAACTCGTTGCATCCATTTCCCGAAGTTGCATGAATAATATCATCAGAAAATAGAATATAAATGCTAATAGAATGCATTCGGATGCTACTCGGTGTTCTTAGGATTATTACCCATCTATACACTCTCTGACAACAAAATGATCGATCGGGGTTAAACATGGCTGACGCGAATGTCCATTTTCAATGCCTAGTACGAGCAATTTCAATGTAAGTCCTTATTTCTAGGATGTAAAAGAATCAAATGAAAATGAAAGCAAAAAACAAAGCAGAAGCTGAAACTTTATACGACTCCAGTGAACTTAAGTTGGCTACTTAAAGCATCAGTGTAAAGAGCAGACATATCAACTGCAAGATGGATGTTCCTCCTGCACAAAGCACAATCAACGTTTTAACGGAAACTCTCCAATAAAAACATGTTATTTCTTGGTCTTTTAAGCATAGTTAATGAGGAACATGATAAGTTGCATAAAGTGATGTAAAAGCCAATTCAATCCTTAACGAAATGCAAATTAATGAGGAACATGATAACTTCATGCATTGGCATCGATCGTCTTTGAAGCTCATTAAATTCTCCACTGTGATATTCCATATCTAGCACTTCGTGTTTACCGGAATTCTTTCTTATTGCTGTAGCCAAGTTTTGTACGAGACAAAAGCTCAAGAGATTCAGTTTTAGTAATAATTCAGTATCCGAATGCATATCGGTATGTAGGGAGAGAAGGAAAAGAGAGTGTGTGAGAAGAAGCTTTTTCCCAGTTTCTCCCTACTCCCATCTGAGGAAAAAGCTAACAGTTAATAGCAACAGATCAAACTACTTTAAGTGGATTTTCCTGAGAAAGTAGATAGAGAAGCTGAATTTTCTTTAGAAAATAAAGAGAGAAAAAGAACTCAAGAAATGACAAGGTTTTTTCTTTGAGATTTCATTGCGAGAGTGTGGGAGGGGGAGGAGGAGGAGAGAGGGAGAGGAGGAGAGAGGAGGAGGAGGAGAAGGAGGAGAAGAAGGAGAAGGAGAAGAAGAAGAAGAAGAAGAAGGAGAAAAAGAAGAAGAATGAGAAGAAGAAGAATGAGAAAGGAGAAGGAGGAGAAGAAGAAGGAGAAGGAAGAGAAGGAGAAGAAGAAGAAGAAGAAGAAGAAGAAGAAGAAGTAGAAGAAGGAGAAGGAGAAAAAAAGAAGGAGAAGAAGGAGAAGGAGAAGAAGGAGAAAGAGGAGAGGAGAAGGAGAAGAAGAAGGAGAAGGAGAAGGAGAAGATAGAATAAGAGAAGAAGCAGCAAAGCAGAAGAAGAAGCAGAAGCATAAGGAGAAGAAGGAGAAGAAGAAGGAGAAGAAGAAGCTGCCACATCACAAAAGTTGACGGGGTTAAGTGCATGTAAGCAAAAACGAATGGAGGTAACGACAAGGACCAAAATGAAAACAAACTAAAAGTTCGATGATTGTATTGCAAGTTTCAAAAGTTGGGTGACCAAAATGCAAGCGCCATAAAGTTTAAGGAATATTTATATACTTCACACTAAAAAAAATATAGGGTGAAGTATACTAATGGTCCATTGACTATATGATAATATTTTATTAAGAAGAAGGAGAAGAAGGAGAAGGAGAAGAAGAAGAAGGAGAAGAAGAAGGAGAAGGAGGAGAAGAAGGAGAAGGAGGAGAAGAAGGAGGAGAAGGAGGAGAAAGAGAAGAAGGAGGAGAAGAAGAAGAAGAAGAAGAAGAAGAAGAAGAAGAGGAGAAGAAGAAGAAGAAGAAGAAGAAGAAGAAGAAAGGAGAAGAAGAAGAAGCAGAAGAAGGAGAAGAAGGAGAAGGAGAATGAGAAGAAGGAGAAGGAGAAGAAGAAGAATGAGAATAGGGAGAAGAAGAAGAAGCAGAAGGAGAAGAATGAGAAGCAGAAGAAGAAGAAGAAGAAGAAGAAGAAGAAGAGAAGGAGGAGAAGAATGAGAAGGAGAATGAGAAAGAGAAAGAGAATGAGAAGAAGAAGAAGAAGAAGAAGCTACCACATCACAAAAGTTGATGGGGTTAAGTGCACGTAAGCAAAAACGAATGGAGGTAACGACAAGGACCAAAATGAAAAAAAACTAAAAGTTCGATGATTGTATTGCAAGTTTCAAAAGTTGGGTTACCAAAATACAAGCGCCATAAAGTTTGAGGACTATTTATATACTTCACACTAAAAAAATATAGGGTGAAGTATACTAATGGTCCATTGACTATAGGATAATATTTTATTAAGTCTCTCGATTATTAAAAGTTAGAAAATGGTTACTTGACTATTCATTATGTGTTAATCATTTTCTCTTAAAAAATTGACGGGATTCTAAGCTTAACGTTAACATGCTGACCGTAATATGATAAAATTTGATCACAGAATCTCAAACGAGTATAATATCTCAACCATCATGTTAATGTCAAACTTAGACAATTGTCATTTTTTTAACGAAAAATGATGAGTTTGAAACATAAATAATTTGGTGACCATTTTATAACTTTTAATAGTTGAAAGACTAAAAATAGTAACATCCTATCGTTAGAGGATCATTGTGTAACTTTTAATAGTTGAGGGACTTAATAAAACAATACCCAATAGTCGATGGACCATTTATGTACTTTACCCAAAAATATATCTAGATCATACAAATATATGTTGAGTAAACTACACAAATGGTCACTAATATTTAGATAAATGTTCGTTTTCACCACTGATGTTTGAAAAGTCATAAATCGGCCACTAACGTTATCATTTGTTACAAAATGGTCACTCAACGTTAATAGTCATTAACAACTGTTACTACAGTAATGGAATGTTGATGTGACACGTTAAACCAGCTCATAAACGATTTGCACAAAGATAGCTACAATGTCTGAAAACTAGAAAACAACATATGATAAGCACAAAGATTTGCTATAACCTGCAGCAGCTGAAAGTGAAAGACTGAGACTATAACTATCAGTCTTTTCACTTTCAGACAGAAACGTTAGATCTTTTCCTCCCCAAGAAGAAGGTGGGGGGACAAAACTTTCAGAACAGCTCAATGACTACATTCAGACCATGCATGATCATGTTTTCTTATTATTATTATTGTTTTTATGAAATAATGTTGAGTTTATATCTGAGTTAAATGGTTGGTTGCTGGGAATACTAGATCACCATTTCGACCATGTAAAATTTTTACAAAATGAAGAAAATCCTCAGTTCGTAATAGATGTGATTTCCATGTTCTCCCACGATGCTGAAGCTTCCATTTCCCACTTCACCACTTTGCTGTATGTTCTTATTTCTCATACATGTATATAGATCTTTAGCTTCTTATGTTTGATTTATGTATATGAACAGAAACTCAACTGTTGTGGACTTCGCCATGTCCATAACCTTGGTTCACCAGCTCA